ACACACACACACACACACACACACACACACACACACACACACACACAAAGATGAAAGAGTCATGTGTGTTGTCTCATAGTACTTTATTGGAAATTGCAGTGATACTTGATTGTAAGTCCGGTTTGTATATGAGTGTTCTGTGTATGTATAAATGTACAGTACACGTGTGCCTGGTGCCTGCAGATGCCAGAGGAGAACACCATATCTCCTGGAACTGCAGTTACAGAAGATTGTGAGCTGCCATGTGGATGGTCCTGGGAATTGAACCTGGGTCTTCTAGAAGAGTAGACAGTGCTCTTAATCGCTTAGCCATCTCTCCAGCCCCTAAGGTCAATTTTTAATTATTAGGTTCTTGTTTTTGTTTCTTGAGGTCTCATTCTAGTGGCCCCAACCCCACCCCCTGATCTTTCTGTCTCAGCCTTCGGAATGCTGGGACTATAGATGTGTGCTACTTTATCCGTCTTTCTTTAAAATTTTAGTTTGAGGAAATTGTAGACTTGATTGCTTTCTGAAGGTATGTTTCTGTATCTACCAGGACATGATTATGAATGTGTATGTGTCCGATGTCAACATAGAGTGAATGAAGTTCATTTAGTGTTTGTTCTGTAACCCTGTTGGGTTTGCTTTGCTTTACTGAGAGATATCTGTGGGAACTGCGTTTGGACTTTTCCAGTAATAGACAGTTGTTACTATTTGTGCTTGGGAAATCAAAAGCAAAGTGAACACTAGTTTTACCTGTTTTTAGTTCTTCAAAAGCTATAGTAGGAATCCCTCCTCCAACAATACTTTTTCCTAACTCTTTTTCAAGAGTCCTGCTCTTTGCCACGCTGCCAAGCAGTTACCTAGGAGCCAGTACTTTAGAGGCCGTTATAGTTTACAGAGATGTTGATGGTAGTGTACACCTAACTTACGTGCAGAACAGCTTCACGGCTTTGAAAGATCAGGATCTCTGTCTTAAAGCACACCTATATGTGTCTGTCAGTGCTGAACCAGTGCCTCACTGTGCAGATTGAGACCATGTGATTTTTTTGTTGACATACAAGTACCCTGTTATGCTAAATGGTGCTTATTACTTGGCAATAATTGTGTATATAATTTAACAAAACAATGTTTTAACAGAGAAAAAAATTTAAAGAAATATTTCACTTTACATGCCTTAATCTCTGCACTCAGGAGGTAGAGGCAGATGACTCTCTGTGAGGTTTCAGGCCAGCCAAAGCTATACAGTGAGGCCTTGTCTTAACACCAGCAAAGCCTTGTTAAGTGACGATAGTAAAATATATGATGAGGAATAATAGGTGTTTTGAAAGTTAAAGACAAAGTCTAACTGATAACATTTAAGAAAATGCCAAGGAAATGCAGTTTTTAGATCTCAAATCAGAGAAATGGAGGTGTACTCTAAATAGTATATTGGCAAACGTCCTGAGATGTTTGTGCATAGAGATTAGAGCCATATTGACTGTTAAATGTCAGCTAGCTTTCATTCTCTTCCTTTCCTAGCGCCTGTTTATATGAACAGTGATTATTTTAAAAGAGGTTCATCAAGTTTTCTGTGAACATTTGTTAATTACCACTACTATATATAGGTGCTACCAGCAATGGTGCAAGGTTTTCTTGGTTGAATTTCTTAGTTGCTTAGTTAAAGCATGGCTAAGAATTTTTTCATTTCATGTTGAGATTTGAGGACATATCCTATGCTTTCTATTAGAATTCAGTAAACTAATACCCTTAGTTGTATCCCTTATATTATTGACATTATCATTTACATTCTATATGTAAGAAAGAATTTGGCTAAATTAGTTTAATTCAGTCTTGTGTATGCTTGCTATTATTGTTCTGTTAGGGTTGTTCTTTTGTTTTGTTTTGTTTCCCCGAGACAGGGTTTCTTATAGTCTTGGCTGTCCTGGAACTTACTCTGTAGACCAGGCTGTCCTTGAACTCACAGAAATCTGCCTGCCTCTGCTGGGATTAAAGGCGTGTGCCACTGTGCCCACCTTCTCTGTCAGTGTGTTTTATTGGCCACACAGACTCTAAGGAGCAGACACTGTTCTAAGGAGACTGAGACTCTCTGCCTTGTCTCATGCTTCAAGATGTTTGCTTTCTTTATCTCACAAGGTAGTCCATGCCAGTGGAGAAGCACCACACAAATACCTCACATCTGTATTCAGTGACAACGAAGGATTCCACAAGGATCAGACAAGTTACTAATAAATATGGACTCTAAAACTCTTGAAGTAGAGTATTTGAAGCTGTGAACTGAGTAGTACAGAGATGGTTGGGCCAGGTGTTGTGGTAATGCATGTGTAACTCTAGCTTGGAGGAAAGAGGTCGCTTGGAGCATGAAGTGAGATTCTTATAGCTCTGCTTTGAAAATCAAAACCAAACAATTCAAAGAAGATTATTATAATAAATCTTGAGTATCCTAAGTTTCTGTTATTATGCCTAAAGGTACACTGAAAAGGTTCCATTGGCTTTTTTGAATTTGCACTTGTTTGCTGTATATATCTTCAAGTGTTATGTTCTTAGATTCATGCAGTAGGATGTATAAAGCTGTTAACTTCATGTGGACACTTCTCTACATAGCAATTTGGGTCATGGAATAAGGCTCCCTCCCCCCAAACATTAATGTTAAAACTGAAGTTATGTCCATTTTTTTACATGTCTTTTAGGAAAAAAATAATGTAAAAGAATGAGATATTATGGTTAGTATTTATGTCCCATAGCTTACTCCATGCCACTAATCCCGTTTTAATCACTCCAAAGTTCTAAAGGCAGCATTTCTTCATTCACAGTGTTTTGATGTGTACTGTGACTACAGCTCTCTGTAAAGCTGTATGTATGTATGTATGTATAGGTCCCTAAGGTTGAGTTCCAGCACAGACAAAACTGAAACTCCACTTGGAGTTTCAGTGCAATTAAGAATGAAAAACCTTGGATTGACTTAGGACCGTAATCTCAGAACTTGGGAGGCTGAATTGGGCACCAAGGGTTAAAAGCCCCTTGGGGCTGTTTAAGAAAGACTGTTTCAGAAAGGAAGACAAGGGACTGCAAAGGTAGCTCAGGCTGAAGAACACTGGCTGCTCTACCAGAAGACCCAGGCTTGATTTCCAGCACCTATGTGGGAACTTAAAACCATCTTTTTAATTATAATTATTCTGTCATATATTACATTCTGACGGTAGTTTTCTCTCCCTCTCATCTTTCCTCCTCTCCAGATCCCCTGCCCCCTTTGCCTCCCCTCATAATAGAGCAGGCCTCCCTGGGACTTCAACCAAACATGGTATAGCAGGCTACAATAAGAACAGGCACATACCATCACATCAAGGCTGGAATGAGGCAACCCAGTAAGAAGAAAAGGGTCCACAAGTAGGCGGAAGAGTCAGAGACAGCCCCACTGTTAGGAATCCCACAAGAACAACAAGCTACTCAGGACTTAGGTCAGACCCCCTACAGGCTCCCTGATCTCTGCAAGCCCCATGATCTCTGCAAGCGCCATGAGTCCTGGTCGGTTGATTTTGTGGGTCATTGTCTTCTTGTCTGTCCCTGACCTCTCTGATTCCTCTGATCCTTCCTCCACCTCCTCAGTTGCTGGATGGAGTCTCTCATTTTCAGAGACACTAGTTAATTTTATTAAAATTATTGTTAAGAGTGTTCTGTATTTAAGCTAGCTTTGAACTCTCTTGTTCATCAGGTGCTGATGTTAACTTTTGATCTTCCTGCTTTCATCTCATGAATGCTAGGATTACAGCCTGTGACAACACTCCTGGTTTTATGCTGAGCTGGAATCTGAACCCAGGCTTATGTAGGCAGAAACCTTTCCTACCCGAGCTACATCCCAGCCCAATTCTGTCATTTTACCCTCTCTTCTTCTTCCTCCTCATCCTCTTCTCCTTTCTCAGTAGAAAAATTCATTTGGTGTTACTCTCATTGTACAAAAGACAATAATTGTATATCGATTTTTCACAGTATCTATTAGAAATTTCTCTCTCTCTCCCTCTCCCTCTCCCTCCCTCTCTCTCTCTCTCTCTCTCTCTCTCTCTCTCTCTCTCTCTCTGTGTGTGTGTGTGTGTCTATGTTTGTAGCTATGGATTGACCTTGGGTATTGTTTTTTAGATGCAATCTACCTTGTGTTTTCAGAGAGTCTCTTTCTTGGACTAGAACGTAGTAGTTTGGCTAGCCTCAGTGAGCCTGTCTTTGCTGCCCTGTGCTTGGATTACAAGCTGATGTCACCACCCCTATTTGGCTTTTTCATATGGATCATGGGGAACCAAACTTGGGTCTCCTGCTTAGGCAGCAAGTACTTCATTGATTACGTCCCCCCTCCCCCGCCCAGTATCTCCACTTTCTATTATTATGTGTCCTTTCATTAAAGATGCTGTACTTTATAAATAAGGCGCTTCTTTTATTTTTTTCTATCTTGTAGGTTACTTCCACAGAATATTGGCCTTCTCTATGTTGGAGGTTATGAAAGACCCTTTGCACAAATCAAGGTATGATAATTCATTTTCTGTGTTTTTCTTTGGCATTCACTTATCTGGAACCCACTGTTTAGTAAAAACAGTGAAACTACCAGTCTCCTCAAAGACATTATGAATTTGAAGTGATTTCATGGATTTTGCTAATGTCTGCTGAAAAAGTTAAGCAATACCAGGCCCGATGTTTAAGACTCTGCTCCTACTAGAGTTGACAACGTATTTTGAGCCATGCATTCTTTTTTATTGGGGTGTTATTTACAGCATTATACTGTAATTAGACATACAGTTTGATAAATGCTAAATATCTACTGAGGTAAAAACTACTAAGATAATTAAATATATCTGTCACTTATAAAAAATATATTCAGATCGTTTGGAGATTCGTTTGGAGATTTTTGCTCCCTGTTCTGCTTTCCGTCATCTTGTCCCCTAGACACTACTAAACAACATGGGTTATAGAGGAACTTATATGCTTTTGTATTTATGTGAATGGAATCATACATTTCTTCCCATTCTCATCTTCCTGTCTTTCATTCAGCACGATTATTGTGAAATTCATCTACATTCTTGTACTTACTGCTTTTCCTTGTGTGGTAGTGTTGGGAATTGAACCAAGTGACTTGTGTGTACTAGGCACTGCTGTTAACATTTGTATAGGTTTTCAGTAGGAATATGTGCTTTTTTTTTTTTTTTTCCTTGGGGTAGAAGAGTATTCTGTACTTCTCAAGGATAGGCGATTAAGTCTGTTCCACTGACCTTCCACCACTACCACACTGTGTGGAGTAGTGTAGCTTTATAGTAAGTCCCCAAATGAAATTGTATAAATCCTCCTGTTTTGCCCTTTCTTTCTATGTAGTTTTGATCAATCTAGTTTTCCTTTCATTTTCATACAGTTTTTTTTAGAACTGTTCTATCAACTTATGAAAGTGCTTATTTGTATTCTGTTGGGGATTATATTGACTCTATAGATAGATAGAATAGAACTGAAAATGTTAACAGTGTTGTGATGGAGATGGTAAGGCTCTAAGGAGTACCTGCCTGACATGCATGGGTACTGGGTTTGGTTCCCAGGAGAGAAAGAGAGGTAGGTCGATTTTAGTAATACAGGACCATTCAGGTCACCAAGACTGCATCTCTTTTTACTCCAGCTTTAATGTCTCAGAGATGTTTCTTGTTTTGGTGGTCTTGCATGGATTTTCAGTGCGTGAGCATCTATATTTTATATTTATGATGCTGTTATAAAAGTACTTTTATTTCTTTTTTTTCCTTTTTTTTGTTACTTCTCTTTTTTTAATTTTTTATTTTTGTATTTTATTTTTTTCTTATCAGTTACATTTTATTGACTCTGTACCCCAGTCGTGTCCCGATCCCTCATTCCCTCCCAGTCCCTCCCTCCCTCCCTCATCTCCACCGTGCCCCTTGCCAAGTCCACTGATGGGGGGACCTCCTCCCCATTCATCTGATCCTGTTTTATCAGGTATCTTCAGGACTGGCTGCAAAGCTCTCCTCTGTGGCCTAACAGGACTGCTCCTCCCTTGGGGGGTGTACTTTTATTTCTAATGTGTAAATATGTTGGCTTTGAATTCTGTAGTATTATTACACTTAGTTATTGGTTTTGGCCATAGGTTTGTAGATTTTAGGGGATTTCTGTGCATAACTATATGATCCATTAAGGAAGGCTGTTCTCCTTTTCTGATCTGGTGCATTTTATTGCAATTTCTTTATTACTCTGACTGCTGTGCACATTACTGTGCCAAGCTGAACAGTAATGGTTAGATCAGATATCCTTGGCCATCTTCCTAATCTTAAAGGGAAGACACTCAGTCTTTGTCAGTATTAGTTCAGAATGGATCAATTGGGGCTTGAGAGATAGCTCAGCAATTAAAAGTTCTTGCTGAGGACTGGAGTTTGGTTCCCAGCCCTCGGGCAAATCATAACTGCCTTTTACCCCAGTTCCAGGGACCATCTCCCTTTTGTGCCCTCTGTGTTACAAGCTTTTTTTGGTGGTGGTTTTGCGACAGGATTTCTCTGTGTAGGCTTGGCTGTTCTGGACTCACTTTGTAGACCAGGCTGTCCTGAAACTCAAAGAGATCTGCCTGCCTCAGCCTCCTTGAGTGCTGGAATTACAGGCATATGCCACTGGGCCTGGCCTGGCCTGTGATTTACTTGAGAAGCCTCCATAGATGGTTGCTTCTTTTCTCAGCATGGCAGTTCAGTCTGATAGTCTGGGAAACTGAACACACTCCTAGGAGCCTTGGAACATCTCAGGTACTCACCTCCTGAGGCAGCCCTTCAGCATTGGAGTTTGTAGTGAAGATCCTGCTTTAGAACTTGGGTGGGTGGGTGATCTTACTGGGGACCTCCAGAAGATGTTGATCCCTCCAGAAAATGGGTGGTAATAAGACCACTACCACAATTTTTAGACCAGACTTGAAACAAACTTTGTTAAATACTGGTTAGGATGATGGACACTGGCTAGATCCATACCCAGGATTCTTAGAGAATGACTGTGAATTACATTAGTCCAGTGCTTATAAAGGCAATATACACCAAACTATGTACCTTTTGCCTTTGTCCCGTCAGGGCCAGACATATATCCTGACCTGCTTCCTGCCTATGTGTGTCCCACATACATGTGATCAAGCACATCCTGTGCAGTTGGGGCAACCAGTCTTGTCTACAGAAGTGAAAATGTATGGCTTGGTATCTTACAGGAACAGCAGCCCTCAGCATTCCAGGAAGCTAATCAGTGCGTGGGCAAGTGGGGCTTGCAGGTTAGAGGCGTTTCTGTTTCATAGTTAAGCACAGTAATTAAAACTTAAAACATAACCTTAGCCCTCACAGCATATACAATTTGGTGATGGGAGTTTTTTTGTGGTTTAGGTTTTTGAATATTTTTAATGTTTATTTCTTGCCTCAGGAGTTATTTTTCTATTGCTTATTTGAAAGTTGTACATTTAAATGTCTTTTTATCTGCATACTCAGTGTAGTTTTGCACTTTGAAAAAAACTTTTTTTTCACTAAGCCTAAAACAGGATATGTAGGGCAATCAATCTTAATATAAGCATTTTTTTATGGTGAAAAAAAAAAGTGTATGTTTAGAATTAGCCAACTGGACTCAGTTTTGATTCCAATCTTGTTGGCAACATCCAGAGCATCATAATCAGGAGCCAACTGAACATATGCCTTATCAGGGTATTGACTTTGGCCACATCAGTGTCAGAGTTTTTTCACAGCCTGTTTGATCTGGTGCTTGTTGGCCTTGACACCATTGTGAACACAAGTGTGTTGTCTTTTATCTTCTTCATGTCTGACTCAGTGTTGAAGGGTGGGGAGGATTGATGATAGCATAGTGGTTACACTCTGGAAATTTCATCATGGGACTCAACACCTCTTGCATACAGTAATTTACCTTAAAATACTCCGAAGTCTGTCACTACTGTATAAATGCTTCTTCTGTTTTCTGGTTCCTTAGCATTCCTCTGAATGGTTAGCATTCAGATACATAATGTTCAGGGTTTTTCCAACACTAGCGTTGTTGGCAAGAGTGTCTTTATTGCTTTGCCCCACTGTCCCACTCATGGAATTTGACAGTAGAGCCAGGAAGCATACTATGTTCCGATAGGAATATTTCTGTCAGCCTAGTCTCGCCCCCCCTCCCCTTTTATGTCTCCCCTTCTTCCTTTCATTCCCTGCACCCCACCTCTGCTTTGGAAAATCAGTGTGGGGAGGGGGCGAGCACAAGCATTTATGCGTGTGAGTTACATGTTATCTTAAAAGCATTATTAAGTGTATGTGTGAGGATAAGTTCCTCTATCAATCATCTGATAACATTTTTTTAATCTAGATCTTTTCTGTGTGTGTTTGTTTTGTTTTGAGACAGGGTTTATCTGTGTAACCGCCTTGATTGTCTGGGGCTCGCTTTGTACACCAGGCTGGCCTCGAACTCAGAAGATCTGCTTGCCTCTGCCTCCCAAGTGCACTACCACGCCTGGCAATCTAGGTCTCTCCTAACAGGCTGTGTGATAGAGAACACTCCTTTATCAACTCTCTGTCTGATTAACTTGGCTAGAATTAAAAAAAAATCTATTTTTTAGGTTATCTTTTTTCTTTTGATGCTTTCTCATTTACTGTGGAAAAATTTCTTAACCTTACAATTATTGAAGATCTTTCATAATTCCTTGGTTATGACTGATTACATCTCTATCTAATTAGATTATGTAGAAGTTAATTGGAAAATAACAATAGTTCAAATGATTGAAATTATGCTTGAAATATAAGGTTAATTTCTTATCTAGTCTGTGTCTATTTCTGAAAATATCAGCATTTTGTTGTATGTGTTTTTTTCTCCCATTACACCAAATGTAATGAGGATGTGTTTTATGCCATAGATATCACATAAAACTTTTTAAACGTGGATAGTACATTGCTTTTTAAAGATCGTGTTGATTATTGACTTTTAAAATAAATTGGTTTATACCATATGTCTTTCTTAATGCCCGTTCCACCTTCATTTTTTAAGATTTATTTTTACTTTTAATTATATGTATGTGTATGTGTCCTCTATAACTATGTATATATGAATACACTGGTCCCCATCAAGGTCAGAGGTGTGAGAAAAGAGGGAGGTAGGGAGAAACTGGGAGGAGATGAGGGAGGGGGCCACAGCTGGGATACAAAGTGAATAAATTGTAATAAATAATAATAATTAATAAAAAATGTAAAAAAAAAGACTGGCTCACAGTTTGGCAAATATTGCTTCAGAATAAAACTTCTTCAGCTAATGCTGCCATATGCTTCCAGCAGGAAACTGCCACATTTGTGACAGTAAGAGAGCTGTTTGCCCCTGAATTGAAGCTAGCCCTCAAGACTGGCCTTGAAAGGGATTAAAAAAAAAAGAGAGAGAGAGAGAATATAGTTGCTAGGTAGAAGGCAGTATAGAAAATAAATGAGGATGGAGTTAAGATGTTTTATAAAACTGTAAAGCCATGTTCTGTTTCAGAATTCGTAACTCT